GAAGGAACCAATTCAGGCTGACAACTTGACCTCAGCCTTCCAACCTCCAAACTAGGAGACAATGAATTCCTTCGTTCAAGCCACTTGATTTGTGGCACTTTGTTATGGCAGCCACAGCAAATGCATACAGAGAACATGTGGGGAAGCTTCCAAAAAACCCTCAGCCAGCCCCCATCATCTTGCAGATGAGGAGATGGCCATCTAAAAAGATTTAGCCACTTGTTCACATTCGAGGACGCAGAGTAGCAAGGCTGGCCCAGGCTAGAGTCCGCGGCCCATTAGCATGGATCCTTTTTACTTTTCTCCAGTCATTTCCCATTAGATTCATTTTAAACTTTGCCTTATTATTACATCTTACTTAAGGTTATCATTCCATACATGCTCTGGTGATATCCCTTGTATCCAGTTTCTCAAGATGTGAGTTAGAGTTGGGCCATCATTTCTTGCCTATGAGTTGAGTATTAGAACATCTTAGAACAAGCCCCAGGTAAAAACTGGAGGCGCCATTCTGCACAGGGTTGTCTGGAAGCTCAGAGGACGCTTGGGGCCATCAGCTGCTAAGAGGCACTGGGACTGCCTACTGCATCTTGCTGGCTCAGCTGGCCCCTGGGGTCCAGCCAGGATGTTGGCACAGCCACCGCTGTGAGCAGTAGACACACACACGAATACGTGTGGAAACTCAGGCCTGTGAATCAGCTCTGTGGGCTGGGAGCAAATATTTGTTTAGCTTTACAAAGGAGGCTGTTATGAAATGTATAGGTAACATCATGTGGCCTCCCCCAGGGTGCTCCACTGTGGCCTTGGCCAAAAGGAGATCAGCTATGGTCTGGCAAAGGACAGTTGAGAACTGTGTGGGATTGAACGTGTCTTTATATCCGTGCCAACTTAAAGGATAGCTAAAGAAAGCATCTGTGTGCATGATTTTCAGGAGCAGTTGGAGTGTGACCCACCTCTCTCCTACTCCCTCTCACTGAAAACTTCTCCAGGACTCAGCTCAGTGAATTCTGAGACTCTAAAATCAATGCTTGATCCCTCTGACTTAAACCAATTCAAGGTTTATTCAAATGCGAGTAAAATTAAAATACTCTCTTAGATGAGGTAGTTTAGCTGTATTGATCATTTATATCTTGATATTGAAGGCTTTTTAGATCCTTTCCAGAGAAGTTTTATTTGGAGAATTAAAAAAAAAGGAATATAATGTGTTTAAAAAGGGGACATTGTCTCTCAATATTAGCCATTGCCGTTAGAAGAAATCTAGGTTCATGCTTGACACCACTATGGGGAAAAATCAAGGGAGAAGTAAGAGAGGAGACTGGTTGGCTGGTCAGGGTGTCCTCACCCTGCTGGAATTAAGCAGTTTAGGATCTGACCCTCATTTGGCAAGTGCAGGATACCTGTTACCAATGTCCCAGAAATGGATCTGTGGCCACAGCTGAAACAAGGTTGCCAGAGACTGATGTATGAAAACCAACATTCAAATATATTCACATATAATGAAAAATGTCACTTTCAAGTGGACCATATGTGTTTTATACACTTGCTAAAGAAAAACTTTGTAGAAAACCTACATGAGAAGCCAATTCTAGTCAGAGAGATGTATGATAAGCAGGAAAGTGTGTGTGTGTGCGTGTGTGTGTGTGTGTATATAATGTGGAATTTTTTTAGACAATATTAATGGCTCATATCATCAAGCATTTGTTTCAGTCAGGATCCAAACAGAAAAGCAGAAACCATCCCAGGTATTTCAGCAGAGAGAATTTGATATAAGGAACAGGTTAAACACAGAGATAGGAATTGCAAGAAGCAGTCATCTCCTAAGACTAGGAATACAAAGAGAAGAGGTTGGTGTTGTCAGAGGGGCCCTGCAGAGCTGGGACTCAGACTTCCGAGGAGAGGGCATTGTCCAACCAAAGCCGGCACCTTGGTCAGTGTGCAGTTAGTACTGGGAATATGGAAAGACGCTGGTCTGGGACCAACTACAATTACCAGAACGAAGGGCTATTGGCCAGATGACGCTCACAAAAACAGCAAGCAAAAGGAAAGAACAAGTGTCTTCTGGGATCTTCCTACCTTTCAGCATCTCCTTCCAGCACCCCCTGCTTGTTGATCAAGGAGAAAAGTAATTTGCAGAGTCCTAGCATCCCAGGGCTGCTTTGATGGCTGAGTATAGTTCTGATAACCTGATGTACCAGTCTCTGCTCTAGGAATGTTCCTGCCACAAGAAACAGATACTCAACTTCCTGAGGAGGCATTTGAAACACATCACCCAGGTGGGTCTGTCTGAATTCTCCTTTTGTAAATTTTATTCAAATCCTCTCCATTTTTTCTGAATAACTTCTTTCTTTAGACAGAGGACAATGCAATTTCTTATCCAAGAGCTGTCTTATTTTCCCTGGAGATTGCACACAGAACATGTGGATTGGATTTAGGGTATTCCAAGATGATTTTGAGTCTTTCTCATTGAGGCGCCTAGCTGACTACACATAAGACACTAACATAATGACCATCCCCAGGACGAGTCTGCCCAAACCTGTTTTGCTCATTGAAAAAAACGGATGTTCACTTCTGCCTGTGGAGGCCAAAAAAGCTTAATTCAGACCCTGAGGAAGCCTGAGGCAGAGGCAGAGGCAGCTCCAATTCTCAGGAACTCTGTCTCCCAGTAGGGGCCATGCTGCTGGCCACCCCAGCCTCCTAGTCCTTTGACCAAACAAACTGCATTCACATAATGAAAGCAAAACACGTGTTGTTTCCTCAAAGATCTTGCTGGGCTAAAACAAGAGCCTAAAATCCAAGCTAGTCTTCAAAATAGGAGATTGTTGTCATCAGAGGTGCTATATTAGTCAATGTTCTCCAGAGAAATAGAACCAATGGGATGCATATATAGAAAGGAAGATCTATGTTAAGGAATTTCCTCACAATACTGTGGGGCTGTCAGGTCTGAAATCTGCAAGGCAAGCCTACTGGAAATTTCAGCAAGAGTCAGTGTTGTAGTCTTGAGTCCAAAGGCGGTGTGGATGCAGAGTTCTTTCCTCTTTGGGGAGCTCAGTCTTTTAAGGCTTTCAACTGATTGAATGAGGCCTACCCACATTATAAAGGTGATCTACTTTACTCAAAGTCTACTGACTTAAATGTTAATCACATCTACAAAATACCAACATCTAGATTGGTGTTTGACTAAACAAATGGGCACCAGAGCCTAGCTAAGTTGACACATAATATTAATCATCACAGGTCATTGTGAAAAGGAAATAGAAACCCCAGGAGAGCTGGGCACATTTGGTAACCACAAAGAATAATTCAAAATACTTGAAACAATGGAAGATAATTTTGTCATCCTGAAATATTCTGAGAAGGATGGGTTAAGTACTTTGGGATGGGCCTGTGGAGATCACCTCACTATCCCTAAGCCCAGTTCCCCCATGTTCAGCCTTCCTTAGGCCTCCATAGACTTCCCTGCTCTGGTCAGACAGTTTCATTGCCCATCAACCCTTATGTTGATGTTCCTCTCTCCTGGTCATTGTCTCTTTGCCTGAAAAGTCTTCTCTGATGCTCAGGTCTTTCCTCATGAAGTTTTGCCAGGCTTATTCAGATAACACCACAATGGGTTATCTTGTTATAATACATGCCTGAACACCCACTGAGCACTTAGTATCATCTCCATGGCACTGTTTGTGTGGGGCCATATAACTACTATTCCCTTTCTTCTTTGTAAAAGAATCTTGATTTTATTCATTCTGTGGAAACAAGTCCCCCATGGGAAATAAATCATGATTGATGTGTCTTTTTTGTGATCTTTTTGGCCGTGTTTATTCTGGGCATGGACATTGACATAATACAGTGTGGAAGAAATCTGGGAGGGCACCTGGAGGAAGGATCCTCACTCTTAAAAAGGGACATACAAAAAAGAAATGTACATTTTCTGTCTCTTCTTCCACTTAATATTGCCATGTTTACGTATGAAGTGGGTTGGTACAGCCAACCCCAAGCATGGCAGAACAGAAAGATATAAAGAATTTGGTCCTTGATGACACCCATGAGTCACTGGCTTCCTAATCTTCCAACCACTCTGCTGTCTTGCTATGTGAGATAATACACTTTGTGTTGCTTATGCCTTCAATAAACAATACTGTCTTTATTGTATTCCTTAATAACTTTCTATACATTTGTTTTATCTTTTTGATGAGATTGAAGATCTGGAGGGAAATAACAATGTCACATATATTATTGTGGAGACCCTTATTCTGCAACTTTCACACAGTAAACACTCCTCATAAATGCCTTTCTTTAGTAGACTAGGTCAATGGAA